GTGTCCAGGGAGAAGTCTCGGGAAGAAGATCCTGTGAGCAATGAACTATAAAACCCGAGGCATCTCTAATGTACATCTGGTTTTTGTTATATAACCCTAGGAGTCTTTTGTGATGGCTTCTGTCCTTGAAGATCCCTGGCCCCAGGTTGGCTTTGGGTCTCTCAGGTCTTTAAACAGAGTAGCTGGCATCACAGGAGCAGCTGGATCTGGTGTCAGCTGGATCACAAGCATTCTACTTTGGAGAGGCAGCCTGATGTCTTAATAGGAGTGACACAGACTTTGCTGTGGAGGGAGCTGACTGGGTTCTTCTGCCTCTTCAGCACAATGACCTTGGCTGAGAATCATGCCCAGACTTTCTTTCCTTTTTGACACGTGTGACTGGAGCTGACTCTGGGGGTTGTGGTGTCTCCTGTGGGCTCTCAGTGTTTGGAAATGGTTTACCACCCCTCTGTGCACAGGAAACAAATAGAACTGAGGAAAGTTCTGGAAGGTGTAAACACCACATGGTCCATGACACTGGGTCTACTGCAGCACCCTTTACACAGGGAAACTTCGGTTCATAGAGTGGCCAGGTCTCTGACCCCTGAGATTCTGGGGAATAGTCAGTACAAGTGGCATGTAGGTGTGTGGAGGTGACAGGAAATCCCTCTTATGACACTTTTTAGCAGTGCGGGGGAGAGTAGGTTCACTGTGTGAGTCAGCGTGACTTGGAAAGGCCCAGCCTGGCTTCCCTAGAGGGACCAGGGTGAGTCATGCTGACTTCTGAATAGGCTCTTGTCTTTCCTCCGTGGCCCTTGGCCTCTGGTCAGTTTCACCGGGAGGACTAGTGTGGGCAGGGCGCTCAGTGCTCCCCTCAGAGGGACGGGGACACTCCTGAACTGTCACTGCGGGAGGCCCTCCTAGCCACTGAGTTATGGCTATGGAAGTCAGGAAAAGCCTGCTCAGGGTCAGGAGGTAAACATGAGCTGAACGCCATCTCTCCCAGGAAGTGGGGCCTGCCAACACCGAGCCCTGGCAGTGTTCGGTGAGGCAGATTTGCTCAATTCTGGTGCCACCAGGATGGGGCGGGCATGACACTCCTTCCTGTTACAACATGATGCCACAAACCTGGTGGTATGAAACCACAGGAGTTTATTGTCTCACAGCGCTGGAGGCCAGAAGTTCCAAATCAAGGTGTGGGCTGGCCACACTCCCTCTGGAGGTTCTGGGGGGACCTCTCCCAGCTTCTGGTGGCCTCAGGCATCCCTAGGTAGTGGCTCCATCCTGCCAGTTTTTGCCTCTGTTGTCACGTAACGGCATCATCGCCATATGCTATCCTTTTCACAACACTGGCTGTTGACTTATGGCCACGCTACTCCAGTGTGATCTCATCCTTTTTTAAAAAAAATCTTATTTATTATTTTTATTTTATCTGTATGAGTGTATTGCCTGCATGTGTGTAAGTGCACCCCTGTTGTGCAATGCCTGTGGAGGTCAGAAGAAGGCATTAAATTCCCTGGAACTGGAGTTATGGATGGTTGTTGGTCACCATGTGGGTGCTGGGGACACATACCCTGTTCTCTGCAAGAACAGTCAGTGCTCTTCACTGCTGAGTCATCTCATCAGCCCTAGATCTTGACCTACTGGTCTCTTCTGTGACTACCCAGTCTGCCTTTAATTCTGGCCAATAACGTCTTTTATTTATATATTTCATTTTCCAATTGAAAATTTTCTATTTAATTATTTTTTATAGTTTCCAGGTCTGTAGTAACATCTTACGCACTTAACACTTTCGCAAGCTTTTGAAAGAAATTTTTACCATACATAAAATGTATAGATATTTTGTCTGTGGATGTGTAAGTGTGTGGTCCATGGAGGCCAGAAGAAGTTGTGGGATCTACATGGAGCTGGAATTATAGGCAGTTATGAGCCACACCATGTAGATGCTGGGGAACAAAATTTGAGTCCTCCTCATGAGCATCAAGTACTCTTAACTGATGAACCACCTCTCCAGCCCCCACCTGTTTTTGAGACAGGATGTCATGTAACAAAGGCAGGCCTCAAACTCGATATGCAGCCAAGGGGACCTTGAACTTCTGATCCTCCTGCCCCCTAACTTCTGAAGCTGAGATGCCAGACGTGGACCACCATGCCCAGTTTTTCAGTGCTGGAGACAGAACCCAGGGTGCCATGCACGAGAGGCAAGCACTCCACCAACTAGGGATGTAAGCCTTATTCTCTGATGCTGGGATTATAGGTGTGGACCACCATGCCCAGTGTTTACCGTGCTCCGAATGGAACTCAGGGCTTCATGCACGAGAGGCAAGCACTCTACCAACTGAGCTATGCCCTTAGTCCCTCAGTCTCCCCTTTTAAGATGAGACCAATAAGCCCCGCCTGGGAGCATAGAGGGTGGGGCCTAAGGACAGTGTCTATACGCCACCCCAGGACAAGAACCACACTGTCACCATCACTTGCACAGGGGCTAATCCACCAAGGCCTGAGTGTGCTCTGCTGGGACTCAGAGGGCTCAGTGTGTCTGCCTGTGGCTGGGGTCCCTACCTGCCGAGACTGACGCCTCCGTGGCGAACAACATGGCAAATTCCCGGATGACGTCAGCAGGACCCCCATCGATGAAGAACCCAAGGTAGCTGACAGAAGAATGGAGCACCAGGGGGATGACGGCGGGGAAGGAGCTGAGGATCCTGTCCCCGGCGGACTTCAGAGCCTCGTACAAACATTCCACCTTCTGGTCTTCACACTAGGGGGAGAGAGGCAGAGAACGTGTGTCCTCAGCACTAGAACTGATTCACCTGTTGGGAATCAAAGATTAATCATCGTGGGCCGTCCTCTGAGGCGCTGTGACAGTCCCTATCCAGCCCATGTCCTCACAGGGTGGAGGATCTGCTGCTCAGTTCTTTGAAGTATTTGGGGTAAGATTCTGTCTGAAATAGGAGCCTCTGTAAGTGCCCAGGTGGAAATCCTTTGGCCACCTCTGTCCCTACCGTGTCTCCCGAGCCAGTTCCCTTTCCTCCCCCTGTGCTCATTGCTTAGTTCAGGAGGCAGGAGGCAGCTTCCGGAAGTTCCCAAACAACTTTGCCGAAGCTTGGGGTGTTCCCTGGGACACCTGTTCAGACCCAGGAGAGGAGTCGAGCTTCTGTCCCCGGAGACCGGAGTCTCAGGCACACAGGGAGCTTTGCGGCAGATTGGGAGATCCTGCTTCCAGGGGGTTAGTTTCTGGAAGCATCTTTCTTGCACAGCTGTGTTTTGTACTCCTCTAGCGTGGTGGACTGGGAGCTGGTGGTAGACAGCTCTGCCTTGCTGTCCTGAGAGCCCGCGGCCCCTTCTCTGGTCCCCTCTGGCAGAGGTGAGGAGGAGATGCTCGCAGGCCTCCCACTCAGCCTCAGGACCCCTTCTCCCAGGCCAGCAGCCCCATGTCCTCTCCTCTGTCTAGTGCTCTCCGGGGAGGCTGCTGATTTGACTGTTTTTTCTCATTGGACCAGGCCCTAACATGGGCCGTGATTTGTGCCCTAAAAGCCACCAGTCTTCAGTGGGTTCGTTATATAACGGGGGGGGGGGGCTGCTCTGGGGTACATCTTGTTTCTTTTCACACGGGGTCTCCCTGTAGCCCCAGCTGGCCTGAAACTCACTATGTAGACCAGGCTGGCCTTGATTTCCCAGAGATGCACCTGCCTCTGCCTCCCGAGTGCTGGGATCTAAGGTCTGTGCTACCACATCCACCTTCTAGGGTGCTCTGCTAGTCTCCCAGAGGACCAAGACCAGAGCAGCGTCTTCCCTCCTGGAGGGACACAGCACCTTCGTTCCACCCAAAAGTGCCCTTGGAGATATTGATACAAAGATGTAGAGAGTGTGGGGTCATACCTCTTTCTGCCTGGGGAGCCGAAGACTCTAAAATGAGAGGGATAAATAAGTAGGGTCCTGAAGGATGAACAGGAGTGGCCAGAGGAAGGGAAGGGCCCCAGCAAAGGAACAGACTCATGCATTAGTTCTGGAGCACCCTGTTCAAATAAATCAGCTATCCCAGCACCTGGGAGGCCCTTTTCTGGCTTCACCGTGCATTACATTCACATACATACAAACTTTACTCACTCACACAAATACATACTCCTCCAAACACCTGGGCAGCCCAGTGTGATGGCACACACCTTCGGTCCCGGCACTCAGGAGGCAGAGACAGGTGGATCTCCATGAGTTTGAGACCAGTCAGGACTACATAGAGAGACCCTGTCTCAAAATAAACTAACTCTTGTGCGAACTGCAGGAGGGGCCAAGCAGGCATGCAACCTAGGAACCATACTAGGAAGTCTCTGACCCACGAGCCATGCCCCAAGCCCCCTCATGTGTTCTATAACTGCCTAATTATCAGAGAAAACTGAATCAGCTGCCTGGACGCACTTTTAAGGCCTCCCAGGGCGGACTCACCGTGAAGAAGTCACACAGCGTCACGTGCGGAAAGACCTCGTGAGCCCTGTTCTTTGCACACTGGCGCCTGCTCTCTCTCCAGAACTCTTGGAGTTTTTCCAGCAGGGCCCCCGTGGGACAGAGGAAGAGGGCATACTCCTGGGGGATGGGGTCGTCAAGGGAGGGGTCACCTCGGTGACAACGCAACCTGCAACGGAAAACAGCCGCTGCTGCCTGGTGGCTGACAGCAGAGCTCCCCCAAGCACAGCACGCAACAGCGGGACAACTGTCCAAAGTCAGAGGCCTGCTGATGTCACACACACACAGGAGTGCTGTGGCCATCCCCACAGGATGTGTCCAGGGGTGGGTGGTCTCAGCTGGGCCAGGCCACACCTGATGTCTGCTGTCAAAGCCAAAGACTGAGAGAGTGAAAGAAAACAGGTGGGATTCATCCCCGACCCTCAAAAGAACTCTCGGATCCAGCTCTGTGGTGTTGGAAAAAGTTTAATTTTATCACAGACTTCAAACTAAGTAGGAAAACTGAAATCCCAAAAGGCAAACGTTAGGTGGCTACGATATTTTCTTCTGATTGAATAAGTTATTATTTTAATACATTTTTGTTTATTTATTTTTACTTTATGTGCATGAGTGTTTTGCCGGCATGTATGTAAATGCACCACATGCGTGCAATACCTGAAGAGGCCAGAAGAGGGTGTAGGAGCCTCTGTAACTGGAATTACAGATGGTTGTTGGCTTTCAAAGGAGGTGCGGGAAATTGGACCCAGTACTCTTAACCACTGAGCCATCTTTCCAGCTCACATTTATTTATTTATTTTTGAGACAAACTCTTGGTTTTTATTTGAGGCAGACCTGGAACTTGTGGTCACCCTGCTGCCTCAGTGCTGGGATTTCAGGTGTGCGCCACTACACCCAGCTAAGAAAATTCTTTTCAATGCAAGGAAAACTGATGTATAGCACTAAATATAAGTTGTTTTCAAAAATAATAAAAGTGGGGGGCTGAGGAGATGGCTCAGTGGTTAAGAGCACTGGCTGCCCTTGCAGAGGACCTGGGTTCAATTCCCAGCACCCACATGATGGTTAACAACCATATGTAACTCCAGTCTCAGGGGACTGAAGCCCTCTTCTGACCTCCTCAGGCATTGTATGACACTGGCGCACTTATATACATGCAGGCACTACACACACAAAACAAATTAATAAAATATTTTTTAAAAAGTAGAACTGGACAAAACACTACTTAATCTCAGCGCTTGGGAGGCAGAAGCAGGTGGATTTCGGTGAAATTGAGGTTAGCCAGCCTGGTCTACATAGCAAGTTCCAGGCCATCTGGGGCTATAGGGAGACCCCGTCTTCAAACCAAACAAACAAAAAGCAAAGACGTTTTATCAAAGGTTCAAAGTTACACTCAGCTATGTCAAGTGTACAGCAAGACCAGATGTACCAGCCTTTACGAAGAGCAACTTGTCAGTACATGCTGGGGAAAACACTCAGTGTTTGCAACTAATAATTCTACTACAAGAAATGCATCCAGAGGAAATAACGGAAAGCATAGGCAAAAACTCACATGGAAAATCTTTATCAGGCTGTTGTTAGAAGGAAGAGCTAGGTGGTAGTCAACCTACTGATCATGGGTTCATTGACATTATGGCTTTGAAGAATTTCTGGTGGGTAAGACATGCCTATTTGTCACATTAGGGTTAGGAAGCAGGATGCTGTCACCACGCAGATGCTGACTATGTGTGAATGAATTTCCCTTGAGGTGACACACAGCGGTGTGTGGTCTCCTTCCCACCTCTTAACGCAATTTATCCCAAAGGTGAATCCACTTGTTTTTTTCCCAGAAATCTAGGCAACACATCTATCAATAGCACACATCTGTTTCGTGCAAATCATGAGCTACTGTTCACATTGCATTTCTGTCCCACCCCATGTTTTTGCAATCCATCCATGTGGCGGGCAGACATCTAGTTAGGTTGCCAGTGTGAATCTTTCAAAGGCTGTGCCATAGCCCATCCTACATGCGTGGAGCATGGCTCCCCACACACAAATCCATGGACATTGAAATAATTTTCTTCTTTCAAAAGCTCCTGCCACCGTGATCAAGATCTCTGTGCACTGGGCTGGAGAGATGGCTGAGTGGTTAAGGGCACTGGTTGCTCTCGCACAGGACCCAGGTTTGGTTCCCAGCACCCACCCGCAGATAACAACCATCTGCAACTCTGGTTCCAGGGGATCAGATGTGTTCTTCTGGTCTCCTCAGGCATTGCATGACATGGGTACACTTACGTACATGCAGGCAAAACACGCATACATGTAAAATAAAAAATAAAATTAAAAAAATGTAAAAGATCTCTGTGCTTGTCTGATATTTAGGCTCTTCTGCTCTTCTCCGGGGAATATGCTTAGAGGAGGAGCTGAGTGGATTTAGGTGGTTGGCTTGTGTGTTCCCGGTGCTGCTGCTCTAATGGCCCCAACTGGAGTCCCAAATTGTAACAGCCACAGTAAGTTCATGTGTATAAAGTGGCCACTTTAATTCAAAAGCTAGAAAAACAGCCAGCTTCAAGGCTGAGCGCCTGAACTTAGCTGCTTCCCCTAGAAGAGTGCTTTCTCTGGAGTGGCCGACCTTGGTCACGTCCCAGACACGGCAGCTGTGCTTCTGCCTGGCCAAGGAGCCTAAATAACAACAGTGATCAGAAAGTGCCTCACTGTAAAGGTCCCTGTACCTCTGTGAGGAGAAGGACTAACACAAGCTTGATCTGGCTTCTGCAGTTTGCTTACCTGCTAACTTGGGCCGTCCAGACCCTACTCAGGACCACCCGGCATTACTCAGGTGTGACGCCATTCCCATGGTATTTGTGGTTTTGCCTTTATAAGTTGGTTTCACCCTCCCCTCGGGGCCGTGGGTCCTGAATCTGACTAAGGGACCATGGATGTTCTAGCCCTAATAAATTTGACCAATTAAAATTTGAATTGGGTCTGGTGGTCTTTTCCCAGTTGTTTCAAACTCCATAACACTGCACACTGCCTTCCATGCAGCACCAGGCTCCCCACCTCCTCTCCCTGTCAGCATCAGTGAAGGCTGGTCTTTTTCTTTTAATGGCATCTTAACCTGCGCCTCCCTCATCCCTAGTGCGATGTCAGGACCACTCTCACCGAAGTGTAAGGGGACCTGGCTGTGTCCCTGTTCCCTGGTGTTCCTAGCCTCATTGTCTGGATCGCCATTGGCAGTTGCCGTCCAGGTCCCTCCCACTGAGCTTGGTTTATAGTTTGAATCTAGAGCCTGGATGTGCAGTCAACCTGCTGGGGCTCTGGGCATTCCCCATCTCCTGCCCGTTCACTCTCAGTCTGTGGTTTTTGAGGATGGGGTTCTCCCAGAGCACAGAACCCTCTGATATCCACTGGCAATCTTTCTATCCTGTGCTGAAAGAAGTTCTTGTTTGCTTTTTTTTCTCTTTTGGTAGGGTTGGGGATGGAACCCATGATGGTTAATTTGAATTGTTAGCTTTGACAGGCTCTAGAATCACCTAGAGAACAGACGTCTGGGCATGTTTATGAAGCAAGTTTTAGCTTGGGTTGACTGAGGAGAAGACCCAGCCTAACTGGGAGGTACTACGTCATGGGCTGCGATCCTGGAAGGAGAAGGTGAGCTGAGAACCCGCGTTCGTCTCCCGGCTTTCTGTGGCTGCAGTGAGATCAGCTGCCTTACATGCCCACTGGCATGACTTCCCCACCATGACGGACGACACCCTCGAACCTTGAGCCCCAAAGAAACCCTTCCTCCCTCAAGCCTTTCCAGGTATCTGATCACAGTAACAGGAAAAGTAACTGATGTGGAACTGATATGGATCCCCAGGCCCGCAAGCCCTCACCACAGAGCCACACCCTAGCCCCAGGGTCTGGGTTTTACGCTCTGGTGTTCATTGTGCCTACTTCAGAACAGAAGGAGCAGGAGGCTGACAGTGGTAGACGGGTGGCTAGGAGGTGCGGTACTGAGGGATAAATTCCTTACCGTCCCTCCAGGTGCACGATGTGATACCATGGGTGATTCACGGCCTCCCTTATATTCTTTCCCTGCCTACGGAGGCCCAAGAGTATGGTGTACTCTTTTTATATCAACAAGATAACCCCTTCCTATTTATTTGACATACACAGGAGTCTTTTTTCCCTGATAGTCAAATTTATATTTAAAGTAGGTTTCTTCTGTGTGCTGGGACTGGAAGCCAGAATGCCGAGTACAGGTCCCACACCAAGCTACACCCCAAACCCTGAATCTAAGGGCTCTTTGTTCTAAGTTCTCTCTTGCTCTTTCTAAGGAGGGTTATGCTTTGCTGGCTCAGAGGTGGGGGTGGGGGAACACAGTCACGCCATCTTGCTTTACTTTCCCAGAGGCCCCATCAGATCCAAAGGGTCTACCTGGGGAGTAGGGTTCAGTTGATGTCACCCAAGCCCTCTGTAGCCTGGCAACTCCCACCCCACTCACCAGTCCGAAGCCTCCTCTGCTGTCTTCCTGCCTGTGGCTGCTAGCGCTTTTAGCCTGTGGAGAGTGAGCACAGAATGGTCAGGCCCCAGCTGTCCTCTCTTCTGAAGGGGTGGATTCTAATGATGCAGTGGCCACTCACCCAGAAGACCCACGGGGTGGGCACCCTCCCAGGGTCAGGCTTCTGGGCTGCCTGGTGGTGTCCATGTGCCCAGGTCTCCATTGTCCACACAGTGACACATGACCTTTGTTTCCCATTTTCCACTCACTTTCCTTCCATGGCTTGACCTCTGCTGCGGAGCCATGGGACCTTAGTGCTCAGGACCTGACCGCTGTCCTCTCTCCCTTCCCTCTCCCTGTACTCTGTTACCCTCCAGCAGAGCCAACCCAATCTATTTTTGGCCGCTAAAGTCACCTGGTACAGGCTGCACTCCTGGCTTAGATGCATGCTTCCCCAACAGCTGTGGCCCCACCCCAGAGCCCCTTGGTCAGTGAGCCTGCTTTAGGAAACACCCCTTACCCAAGGGCAGTCTGGTCCACAGTCCTCCCCGATGCCCTACCAAATGCTCACCAGAGCTCTTGTCATGGCCCATGGCACCTGTATGCCTTATTCATTCCTGGGACATGGATGTCACTACATTGAACTGAATTCGGCTAAGCTGGGGCCAACCGGAGTGGAACAGAGCTGGCCATGGACGCGGCAGCCATTCAGCTGGGCTCCACTGGAACCCAGTCTGGTGCTGCCCAGAGCTGCTGATGCTTGTGTGAAGATGAACGGGAATGTGGCCACCTGGAGAGGCCTTGACTGAGAGGCCATGCCACGGAGCCCTACTTTGAGGGGCTCTGGCCTAAGTGAGAGATTTAAAACACAGCTCTATTACCCCAACAGGAGGCCATTGTTTAAGCTATTAGGGATGTCGATGAGTTCACCCCACAGCTTGAAGAGGAAAGCACCCTGGGCCCCAGGGGCACCGGGAGTGGCTGCTGGCTGGGGCTTGCTGCCAGCTGTCCCTTGGGCCTTGGAGTCCACCTGCAGTTGCATCATGAACCCTGGGTGGCAGGTGCCATGTGTGGACTTCCTGATGGGCTCAGCCTGATGGCCTTGATTCTACCATCCACTGAGTGGACCCCTGACTCACAGCATTGTGGAGGCGGCACAGCCCGACACAGGAGAGAGAAAGGACACTAGCTTCAAAGCTACGTCCTCCAGCGTCATCAAGGTCTCATCATATCCTTGAAGGAATTGCTTAGCTCATTCCCTGAACCCTAGAACATCCTTCTAACCTCTTTCTCTCTGGGGTAAGCACTTGAAAGGGACTACAGCTAAGAAGCAGGTTCATAGTGGATAGGGTGACCACAGTCAGCAGCCCTATTTCCCTCTCTGATCCCAGCATCTCCTAAGGTTTAAACTTCCAGAGTGAGGATCTTTTCCTTAGAAGAGCAGGGTGTGCTGACTCTGTCTCTGGAATTTCTCCACTGTCTTGTGCTATGGTTGGACATTGCAGAGACTGTCCCTGTGCTGTTTAGAAACATGGTGTAGAGGTTCTCCTGGTGGCCTTATCCTTAGAGACTCACATTAGAGTTAGATACCATGAAATGCCACCTTTGGAGTCACGGATCTACACAAGAAGTCACGTCAGCCTCACTCTCCTCCAAACCCCAGACACGGGCTGCCAGAGTACCTCATGGCTTCTGACACGCACATGTTTCAGGGTCTCCATCAGCCAGCCGGCAGAGCTGGCCTTTCAAAGGTCGAGATCATTCTGTGTGTAAACAGAGGGATGGGGCTTCCTTCGGAGACATTATCTGGCACTGCAAGTTGACTACTTCAACAGGAAGCCAACGCCACTGGCCTATGCAGTACTATAGCAGGGGCAGAAGAAGGGTCCACCCAGGCAGGGAAACTGGGCTCTAGGGCCTCAGCTAGCCGCAGTACTCACGCAGTGTGTGCTGGGAAGCCCAGGGCCAGGAGGGGTTCCAGGAGCGAGGGGGTGCTGCGGCCCTTAAGCTTGCTGGCGACCTTGGCATAGAGCGGTGTCTCTCCGGTGGCCATGTCTTCCTGCTTGTGGTGCAAGAGGCGCCTGCTCACTGCAAGGAGCCGATAAAGTGAGAGGAGAGGGAGGCAGGCTGAGGCTGTGAAGAAAAACCTCAAGCCTTTTTTGATCTTTCTGACACAAGTGAATATCCTGTTTGCACAATGATGGGACTTCAGAATGCTCTGTGCCGGCTGACAGCAGCTTCTGTTCACCCGGTCTGCTTCCACAGTGGGCTTTGCTCCAAAGTTCATCCACGGGATCTACCTGTGTACTTGGGGAGCATTTGGGAGACAGAGACACCTGAGAGTGTGGGGGAAGGACGAAGGAGCAAAAGTCTGGGGCAGGCCTCTCTCTGGGGTCCTGATGGCCACCTACCCTGGGTCACCCTGGACCTTCATCTCCAAGCCTGCAGATAAGACATTGACATCTTCTTTATCTGCTGTTCCTGCTTGCTCGAAAATCTTCTTCAAATTAATTTTTAGTTATTCATTGACTTTTTGAAGGACTTGTAAAGCTTAGTGTGCATATAGAAAAGCTTGACCAATGATATTTAACATAAGGAATTTTCATAAAGTGAGCACACCCCCAACTTCCCCAGGACCAACAAAACAATAATGCACAGCCAAGGGCAACTTGTACCTTTCTAAGGGACGTTGGGGATGTCTGGAGACATTTGTGGTTAGTGCAACTTTGGGAGGGGCTAGGAGCTGGGGACATGTTGGCACCTGGAAGGTACTGACCAGGAATGTCTCAGTGCCCAGGACACTTTGCACAGCAAAGGGGATCCTATACAAAATGTCAGTAATGAAGGTTATGAGACTTTGCTCTAGAACTTTCCCAGACCCTCAGAAGCATTTCTCTCTCAACCCCGTCTCCTCCAGCTTATCTCCCCTAGAAAGCTCACTTGTACATTAATTTTTAGTCTTGTTCTAGTTGGCTTTTCTGTTGCTGTGATAAAACTCCAACCTAAACCAACTTGGGGAGGAAAGGGTTTATGCAGCTTACACATTACGATTCATCACTGAAGGAAGTCAAGGCAGGAGCCTGGAGGCAGGAACAGAAGCAGAGACCACGGAGGAACGCTGCTGACTGGCTTGCTCAGTTACCTTTCTTATCCAGCCCAGGCCTACCTGCCCAGGGGTGGCACCACTCACAGTGGGTTAAGCCTTCCTCCATCATTTAACAATCAAGAAAATGTCCACAGACATGAAACACAGGCCAAACGCAGGAGGCATTCCTTCTGAGGGTCCTTCCTCTCAGGTATGTTAGGTGGGAAAGCAGGAGTAACTATCACAGCCTCACATAACTAGAACCCTAGAATATGCTGTTTTACGTGTGGTTTCTGTTTTTCTTTTTCTGTGGTCCTGGGAACTGAACCCAGGACCTCAGCCATGCTAGGCAAGAGCTCGAATACTTCAGGCCCACGTCTTGTTTCTTTACAAAATTGCATCTGTGAAATTCGACCATGCCACCGTTGTTGAGCGGTATTCTAGTAGGTAAATAATTCTCGGATCATTTATCTAATTTTTTTGTTGATGTAAATATCAGCAAATATTACAATCTGCTCTCTGGCTGGCAGAGGGTGAGAATTCTGGCTGCCCCTTTGATTTCTAGTCCTTCTGGTCTCTGTGTGGATGCATCTCCTGGGGTGATTGCATTTCCCTGGTGGACAGTGATACTGAGATCCTCTCTCAGGCTTACTGGTCACAGAATATCCTCTCCAGGAAAGCATCTGCTCAGATCTCTCTGCCTGTTTTTTCCCCATTGGATTTTTTTGTCTCTTCCTATAACTGTGTGGGAACTCTGGTTAGTGCTTTCTGCATCCCATTTGAGGACTTGCTGTTTATTTACATCAGTGAGGATGGTCTCCTCTGCTCTGCTTGCTTCCGAAGCTTTTCTTACTGTTCCAATCTTCCTAGTTCTACAGTCAGTTGGAAATCCTTCTGTGTACGGTGTGAGGCAGGGATAGGGTTCGTTTATTTTCCCCAGTGACAAGGCTATACAGTGAATTGCTGTAGAATATCTGTTATGAACCATGGGATGGACATGCTTGGTTGCTTCTAGTTCTAGCGTGTGCTCTGGTCTGATGTGGCCATTTTTGTGCTCATTCTACATGGTTTTCGTCACTGCAGTGTCAAACCTCTCTAATTTTGTCTTCTGTGGGATTGTCCTGGTTCTTCTGGGTCCTCTGCTGTTTCAGTGGGACTGGAGAGACAGCTCAGTCATTAAGAGCACTGGCTGCTGTTGCAGAGGACCCAGGTTTGATTCCTAGCACCCACATGATGACTAACAACCATCTGTAATTCCAGTGGCAGGGGATCAGACGTCCTCCTCTCACCACCACAGGCATCACACCACACAGATGCACTTATATACATGCAGACAATATACTCATACACGTAAAATATATTTAAAAAATCAGGTTGTCATGTGTGCCCTGCAGGGTGCAGAATGACCCACATGCATGGCCAGTTGACTGAATTCAATGGGGAAAGGATACTGTTTCAATAAATGATGCTGGGGAAATGGCACCTCATGCTTGAAGCTAACTCAAAAGGCATGATGGAATTAAATGTAAAATCTCAAACTATAAAACCTCCAGAGGAGGGGCTGGAGAGATGGCTCAGCAGTTAAGAATGCTGGCTGTTCTTGCAAAGGACTCAGGTTCGAATCTCAGCACCCACATGGCAGCTAGCAACTGTCCATAACTTCAGTTCCAGGAGATCCGACAGCCTCTTCTGACCTTTGCAGACATTGCACAACATGAGTTCACTTACATACATGCAGGTACTACATGATACACATAAAAATAATAAATAAAAAATTTAAAATTTCTGAAGGAAAGCCTAGGGGAAAAATCCGTGTTGTGTTGTGTTCACGAAACTTTCTCAGGGCATAAAAAGCAGAATCCATAATTTTTTTTTTACATTAGGCTTCATCAAGATTTTAAACTTCTAGAGCTGGAGACCTGGGTCAGTGGTTAGAGCACTGGCTGTTCTTGCAGAGGACTTGGATTTGATTCTCAGCACCCACATGGTGGCTAACAACTGACCCTTACTCTAGTTCCAGAGGATCTAACACCCTTTTCTGGCCTCTGAGGGTTTGCACACACATGGTGCATTTGCACACATGCAGGCAAAACACTCTTACACATAATAAATAAACTGTAAACATCTGTTTTGAAAAGCATCATAAAAGACATGAAGAGGTAAACTGCTGAGTGGGAGAAAATGTCCCCCACACATGCTACATATGATGCCCAGAATATACATGCTATTATATATAATATATATATATGAATGAACAGGTGAAATAGATATTCTTTCAATAAGGATTTATTTTTTATGTGTATGAGTGTTTTGCCTGCATGTATATAAGGGCACCACATGTGTGCAATACCCATGGAGGTCAGAAGAGGGCGCAGATCCCCTGGAACTGGAGTTATGGATCGTTGTCAGTTGTCAAGTGTGTGCTGGGAACTGAACCCAGGTCCTCTGCAGGAGCTGCCTGTGCTCTTAAACCCTGAGCCATCTCTACAGCCACAAAGTATCTATTGTCGGTCAATAAGAAGAACAACTAGCAAGTTTAAAATTGGGACATATATCTAAATGTCACCTGCTGAATCATCACTGGGCGATGTAAATACAAAGCACAATGTGGTTTCATGGTACGAACTAGACTCCCAGCTAGAGTTGAAAAGACAATGTCGAGTTTTCACAAGGTGATGGAGTGCTTAAAACTCCCACATTTCTGGTGGAAGCACATGGATGCATGTATTCTTTTCAAAACTGCTAAGTTGAATATTTAGAATGAGCACATTTTACAGCGTGTAAAGTAAGCCTCAATAAAATTGTTTTTATAAAAAAGAAATGAGGGGCTAGAGAGATGACTCAGTGGTTAAGAGAACTGGTTGTTCCTGCAGAGGACGTGGGCTTGGTTCCCAGCACCCATATGGTGACTAACAACCGTGTGGTGCACTCACATACATGCAGGCAAAACACTCCTACAAATAAAATAAAAATAAAGAAAATTAAAGAAAAGGAAAAGAAAAGAAATGTTAAGGACAGTGAAAGCTGATACATTGACATCTTTTTGCCAAAAACCAGTCTGCTGGGGCTTCGTTGGGGTTAGACTGAATCTGCAGATCATTGCTGGAAGCTGACATTTTAACATTTCTCCTGCTTCATGAATATGGTACAGCTCTCTACTTAATTTCTCTTAGTGATGTTTTGCAGCTCTTAGTTTCTTTACTTATTTTATTTTCTTCTCCTCCTCCTCCTCTTCCTTCTCTTCCTCCTCCCCCTCCCCCTCCTCCTCCTCCTCCTCCTCTTCCTCCCCCTCCTCCCCCTCCTCCTCCTCCTGTTCCTCCTCATCCTCCTGTTCCTCCTCCCCTTCCTCCTCCTCCTCCTCTTCCTCCCCCTCCTCCTCTTCCTCCTCCTCCTCTTCCTCCTCCTCCTCCTCTTCTTCTTTGTGTGTATGATATGTGCATGTCAGTACACTCATGCCACAGCACATGTGTGGATATGAGAGGACAGCATGTTGGAGTCAGTTCTCTCTTTCTACCTTTCTGTGGTCTCTGGGGGCTCAAATGCAGGTGGTCAGGCTTGTGAGGCACTTTACCCACTGAGCCATCTTGCCAACCTCTTCACTTATGTTTTTGATCACACACACACACACACACACACACACACACACACACACACATACACACACGGACAGGCTTTCATATAGTCTGAGTTGGCCTTGAACTTACTATGTGGTCAAGGATGTCCTTGAACTCCTGATCTTCCTGCCACTACCTCCCAAGTGCTTGGATTTTAGGTGTTCGACGCCACACCTGGCTGTAAATGATATTTTAAAACAGCGCCTATTTCTAATTGTTCCTGGTGATATAAACAGAACGGATTCTTATAGAAAATCAGGTGGTCAACACCTGATTTCTCTGGGACTTGGTAGGTTTTAGCATTTGAAGCCCAAAGCCCAGCAAATCAGGCTTGTTTAACACCCTCAATACCAG